TACAGTTTTATCCAAGATTACTAGCTTAAGGATGACTTAAGAATAAATTCGTGAAAATTTCTTTGAAATTCCTCGAACTAGGCTCTCAATCCCTTTTGCTCACGAACCCAAGTCCCCAATTATGTGAATTTGTAAAATTACCATCAATTATTGATTCTCGACATTGTTTTATGAAGATCGATATTCTGTTATTTTAATCAATTTTTGTTAGTTTCACCATTAAAATGTCTTGTGAAGGCCAATATAAATAAAATGTCAATGACTTTTTCGTTTGATAAAGCACGTATTTACATAAGGTCGCATTTGCTCAAATTCGTCGTGGGTGAGGAATCGACACTTCAGTAGAAAACTCTAATCATCAACCAAGAAATTCAAAATCTTTCATCAATTAATTCGGTGGAGAATCAAGGAGAAGTTGTTGTTCATTGCTGTTTTGGTTACTATTGTTGTTGACTTTTTTTTACTCTGCTTTTTGATTGTTGATTTTGGGACTGTGCTATAGCTACATTACGGTTCACACCTTTGTTCACAACCCCCTCACATCGGGGGCCCGCACACATTAAAAAAAATAGAGGTGGGGCCCCCTCATTGTGAGGGGGTTGTGAACGCTTCTGTACAGCCCGAGCTGTACAAGCAGCTTAGTCCTTTTGATTATCGGCGTCATAGACTTTTTTTTGCTTCTTTTCTTACTTCTTGTTGATTGCTGTGCATTGATTGTTCTAAAATTGATTGTTTTGGTTGCTTGGGTGAAGGTCTCTTTTGTTGGGGTTTTGTTAGCTTGTAAATTGCTAGCGTTCATTGGATTTACTGCGGAAGGATGTTTTTCGCAATATTTTATAGATTAGAATTGAATTTTGTAAAGATTATAAGGTTAAGGTTGATTTTTGCAAAGTTTATAAAGGATAGGGTCATTTTTCACAAAAAGTTTCAAATGTAGGGTTGATTTGCACAATATCTTTTAAAGCACGGAGAACCTAGTCTTCTTTTTCCTCGTCCGTAAATCTAAATCCCAAATACAAATTAATCGAAATTGCTAGAACACATAATTAATAATGTAATTTTCATCATTCGTTATGCACATTACAACAAAATCATAAAATTAAATGAAAAAGATATCTTTGAAATTCAAAAGCATTCTTTTGTCTTTGTAATTCCAAAATTTCAAGAGAATTTGGCTCGTGCTATATTTCCCATTCCATTTCCATATATACTAAAGGACATTTTCAGTTTTTTGACGTCTAACGTAAAAAAATTGACTTGATCAGACGAAAACACCCTTGGACATTTTATTCATTTATGCTTTCACAGAAAATTTTAACCAAAAAAAAAAAAAAAGGACAAAAGACAAAATGGGGAAATTGTTTGACAAAATATGGTTTTTAGGGTTTAATTTTATTATTAAATTTTGGTTTTATTAATTTAACAAATTCGAATTCTCGGTGGATAATTTGTAGAAGTCTTAAGGAAAATTCGTGTCATATATGATATGTATTTAAATTCCCTAAACATATATTCGAGATTTAATAGAAGAAATTTTATTTGAAAAGTTTCGATTGGAACAAATATTTGAATTTGTTTTATAGTATATTTTCATGCCTCGAAGTCGAAGGTATTGTTATGTTTTGAGTTTGAAAGATAAAAGGAGAAGAAAAATAATGTAAAAGAGAGAGAGATGGAAAAAAGAGTATCCGGAATAAAAGAGAGAATTTTGAAGTTTTAATTAATTAATCATGACACGTGCGATTACATGCGTTACATATGCAGTATAACAATGCAAATTGCTATAGCACAAAATTAATAAATAAAATGCATAAAAATAATAAACAGATTTACAATTATTTTGGTTTTTAGATATGATAAGATAAAAGTTTGAGATATTATTGAAATATAGATATGAATAAGAGTAATGTTACTCATAGTGAAGACTGTCAGTAGTCGTCTTATGTGACATACACTTGATAATTTAGTATTTGATACATAAATATGATAGTTATTTTTTGAATTATACATCAAGTGAAAAAGTGTCAAGTATACGCCACATAGGGTGACTGTCAGTAGTTTTCACTGCAAATAGCATTATTCTATGAATAATGTTATTTGCAGTCACTAATTATCGCAGTCGTCCTACGTGACACGTATATGACAGTTACTGATTTGATATATATGATAAGAAAAACTATCACATTAATAAATCAAATCAATAATATATTTTCATGCCTCGAAGTCGAAGGTATTGTTATGTTTTGGGTTTGAAAGATAAAAGGAGAAGAAAAATAATGTGAAAGAGAGAGAGAGAGAGATGGAAAAAAGAGTGTCCGGAATAAAAGAGAGAATTTTGAAGTTTTAATTAATTAATCATGACACGTGCGATTACATGCATTACATATGCAATATAACAATGCAAATTGCTATAGCACAAAATTAATAAATAAAATGCATAAAAATAATAAACAGATTTACAATTATTTTGGTTTTTAGATATGATAAGATAAAAGTTTGAGATATTATTGAAATATAGATATGAATAAGAGTAATGTTACTCGTAATGAAGACTGTCAGTAGTCGCCTTATGTGACATACACTTGATAATTTAGTATTTGATACATAAATATGGTAGTTATTTTTTGAATTATACATCAAGTGAAAAAGTGTCAAGTATACGCCACATAGGGTGACTGTCAGTAGTTTTCACTGCAAATAGCATTATTCTATGAATAATGTTATTTGCAATCACTAATTATCGCAGTCGTCCTACGTAACATGTATGTGACAGTTACTGATTTGATATATATGATAAGAAAAACTATCACATTAATAAATCAAATCATAACTGCTATATAGAATATAACATATGACGATTACTGCAATGAGCGACTATAAATAGCATTATTATATGTGTATATATATATATATATATATATATAAAGTCAATTGAATCCTTAAGTAAGGTTATCACCCTAACACTTGACCAAAATTAAACCCTAGTAAACAATGGGTCAACCAACCATTACAAAATTATTAATGGTTCGTAGAATTTTTAGAATAAATTTTGTAAAAATAGACCTTTTTTTTTTAAGAATGTATAATAAAAAAAGTAAAGAATGTTATGGATGCACGTGCAAATTATTTTACTTAGAAAAATATAATGAAAAATATAATTAAAATGAGTGTGAGAAAAAATGAATTTTAAAGAATTTGTATTATGGACTATAAGTGATAGAAGTTTGGTGGCCAAAACGAGAATTTATTAAAACTTCAATGACCACCCGTGTAAATTTCCCTGGCCCAAATTGAGCGATCCTAAAGACGCTCGGACAAAATCTCTTAACTACTTTTGCAGGCTGAATTTTGGCTAAACCTTTGCCTATTAGGATTGGGACGATTCAAATCCTCGGTGTCCTATGGAGAGATTAAAACATGGTCGATGAAAATTTGACTCCTTTTCATTACACATTCAAGCTGCACAGAAAGAAAAAAGTTAAGGAGGCGTTGTGTGGAATTCGTGAAGCAACGAATATTACAGTATTCAGCAGGTATAATCTGTTTAAATTTGGATTTTATATGTTAAATTAGTTATTAAGTGCAAAATTGGCCCTTTTATTAGTTACTTATTAACTGTTCCACATTACTCTTTTGGAGAAAAAAAAAATAATTTCTTGGCTATAATTTTGTTGTTCAGGAATATTTTTATTTTGTAAGTTTTAATTATTGGCAGTAGAGGTGGAAAAAATTGAATCTTGTCGTTCTTGCGGCCTGTGAATTTGATATAATGGGAACTTACATGTTCTCTCTGTTAAGGTCTATTCTGAATAATGGCAAATTAATATTCTATGAATAAGGAAGCCTTAGTGCCTTTGCCTTTGGATTTAATTGGTGAACCAAAGCCACACAATTAGTATGCCTATCTTTTTTCCCTTTTAGTTATTTTACGAACTCCTATTCCTGGATATAATTGTGGAAAAAGCTATTAATGTATCTCCCCTAGTCACTCGTCTTCAGGATTTTAATCTGTTGAAATTCAAATGGGTAGGCTAAAGAAATTATGGACTTCAAATAATTTAAATCTATGGCCAGTTCATTTGGCTCTATCTAGATCCTGGTCTTTTGCCATTTCTTGATGTTGGAAATAACTTCAAATTATGTATATTTGTTCTTTAGCAGGGTGATAGTTTACATTTTAATAATTTGAAGTCTAGAAAATAAATATTTGATTACATTTTTTTTTTATATATGACAGAAATTAGTACCATGCCTCTAAAAGTGAATTATGGGGTTGATTACAATGATGACTACAACGTCTATGAGGATGATAATTATCACTATGATGATTTGTATGAATATGAAAATGAAAAAAGAGGTGAGTTTCTCTCTCTGTACTTGTATGAGTCGATGAAATATTTGTTGTGCTTCTTCTTTTGAGGTTTGATGAACAAATACACTTTCATGCATAACTTTGGCGGAGTGTACGGTCAATATTGCAAGTGCACTTTTTCTTTTTGTTATTATATATTGTACCTAACATCTAACTATTTCTACATGGCTTGAAAGTTTAAAATAGAAATATCAAGATAGGAGAAGTATGCTTAAAAATGCATTCCGGTTTGTATTTAAGGAATTAAACCTGGCTTACCAAAAATAAAACTTTACCCATGAAATAGTTGCATGGGAGAACTTCACTTTAGGCAATTTCTACTATGGTGGCAGGATTTGGTTTCCTATGTTGAGAGCAATGAACTTCTAAATCAATATTATGAATTCACTCTTAATATCCCATTTTGATAGCGGGACAAACCAAACACAAGCTAGCTCGTTTCAAGATTTTGTGGTTCACCTTGCCACGCCGCGTTTTTCTTATATTATAATTTTATTTATTTATTTTTTTAACCTTGGGAGCGAGCTGCAGCCAACCCGTATGAACCAGCGAGGGCTCGTACGGAATAAGCCCGATTGGCTCGCTAACGAGGCGATGAGTGGCTCGTCCCTTTTGACATCCCTATGACGGTTCCAATTTTTCTAAATATGTTGTTTGATGTTGAGTACCATGTTGCTTGATCAAGGCTTTGTTGCAACAGATATTACACATCAGACAAAGGCAAAACAAGAAGTCATCAGGACTGGAGCATGGCGTTGCCCCATTTGTACATATGATAATGAAGATAGTATGTCTGAATGTGACATATGTGGGGCTTTACGTAATTGTTTGGTCAGAATTAGTCAAACTGGTGATAGCACAGCAGGTAATGAAGTATTTGGATATCTGTTGCTTTATGTTTTTGGATGAGCTTTCTCACTGTTTTAAGTTACATGCCATAGATAGAAATGCTCTTCTTTTATGGAGTTTTCCCCTTTTATGAATATTGTACATTTTCTATTCCTGTTAAAGTCATCAAGTTAATATGATTTGTTTATGGGAATGATTATATTTCATTTGTGTAATTAGTCCTTTTTTTTTAGTTCTAAAATGGCGTTGCCCCATTTGTACATATGATAATGAAGATAATATGTCTGAATGTAACATATGTGGGGCTTTAGGTAATTGTTTGGTCAAAATTAGTCAAACTGGTGATAGCACAGCAGGTAATGAAGTATTTGGATATCTGTTGCTTTATGTTTTTGGATGAGCTTTCTCATTGTTTTAAGTTACATGCCATAGATAGAAATGCTCTTCTTTTATGGAGTTTTCCCCTCTTATGAATATTGTACATTTTCTATTCCTGTTAAAGTCATCAAGTTAATATGATTTGTTTATGGGAATGATTATATTTCATTTGTGTAATTAGTCCCCTTTTTTTTTAATCTTACAAATGTCGTGCTGATAGGTCAAATTCTTTTCCGTTCAATAGCACCCTTGTCTGTTTCCATTTTCTTATATCATAGTGTAGATACTTTCCATGCAGGTGGTGGCAGATGCAAAAGCTCTGGAGCATCAGTGATGGCCAAGTCTCTTTTTGCATCATTTCGACACCGGGCTCCTGCAAAGTCTGTAGCCTTTGAAGCAAAAAACGATGCTGTCCTGATAGAAGATGCTTTTATAATCCGTCGGAATTTTCAAGAATTCCTTAGGGCCTTTAGCTCTCAAAAGCATCAGAATATTAATATAGGTCAGCGTAATATCTAATATGGGTTGTCAATCTGTAGAAGAACATATAAAAGTTCCAAGTGATTCAGTAGATTAATAAATTTTTCTTATTTTTCAAAAATCTTAGTTCAATATTGTTCGAGGAAGTCTCTACAACTTCTATTGGGGAATATAACATCTTCTTTTTTTGACATTGTGCATTATGTTGATAGCAGCCCCTTTCAAGTTCGATTCCCCATCTCCTGATGATTTGGTGTCCACTAGACTGCATTCCTCAAAGTTGGATTCCAAAGGTAATTTTTTATGTTTAGAGTCTGTTCTCAGGATTTTTTTGCTCTTAATTTAGGTGCAAGAAGACCATGAACTCTATGATCATCGTCCAAAGAATGATTATAGGCACTCAAACCAAATGCATTGGCCTTTTTAGTAGCGTGATACCTGACAATATTTTACTCGACAGTGAAAGGATGATTATAGACACCCTTTCATGGATATAGATTGATGACATAGTTTTAGTTGACGAGACTAAGATGGGGATACCTTGTAAGTTAGAATTTTGGAGTACTTTGGAATCTAAAAGTTTTAGATTGAGTAGAAGTAAGATGGAATACATGGAATGTCCTTTTAGTCATAATAGAAATAAAAATGATAGTGAAGTTATTATAGAGAATCTTGTTGTCTTAAAGAGTGATTGTTATGGTACATTGGGTTTCTTGAATTGGACGTAGTGCATGGTATTAGAGCATGTTCAATCAAATGGAGTGGTAGTATATGGATTATCTATCACCATAAGATTCCTAAAGTTAAACATGGAAGTTCTAATGGTAAGGGATCCAGTATATGCTACAGTACTGACTTTTGGGTTGCTAAAGGACAATGTTCGTAAAATTGACATACTAGGAAATATAATTACAAGATGGATGTGACTATACTAGAGAGTATAACTAAGAAGCAAAAGTAATCAGAAATAAGTTGAAGTGGAGGGGGCTACCGCTTGAAGATAAATTAATGGAATTGTAACTTAGTTGTTGGGATGTCTCTAAAGAATCTCCCATCCATGGGAGCAATGCTATATCTATAATGTTAGAAAACGTAAAAGTAGAGGTAGATTAAAATTGTTGCACACGACTTGGAATTGGATCTTTCAGTAATCCTGGCGATTGACCAGATGAAGAGGAAAAGAAGCCAAACCCCAAATTCAAGTTTGTAGTAGTTGTTGTTGGTTCTTCAAGTCCTTGTTGAGCAAAATTCTCTTTGCACAGTGCCTAAGAAACTATTATGCTCTGTTAGTGATTTAAACTCTTGAGATAGATACACTGATTTGTGTTCCTTTATTAGATTACATTTGACACCTTTCTGATGGCCAGTACTTGTTGCTTGCAGCCAATTTCAAAAGATTATCATCATTAGATATGTCCACAAGGGAAAGAGAAAAGAATATTCTTATTGAATCAGAGTTGGGTACCGAAGGGCCCAATTCCTCATCTGCATCAGTGGCGAGGGATGGCGGAGTGAAGGAGAGAGACTTTGCTTCAGACTGTGGGATCAAACCAGAAATACTTGTCAGTCGTATGAGGAGTGTTTCTTTGTCTTCCAAATCGAGAACAGGAAATGTTAACGAGGAAACGGGCACATCTAATTTGGAATATAAACCCGAGGCATGGATGATACCAGATCAAGCAGAAGACAGATTGAGTCAACTAAATCTTGCGATTGTAAGTTACCTTTTTCAATCAGAATGTACTCGATAATCTGTTCACATATGTCTACAGTATTTTCTACTGATTATGTTGTTTTAAATATTTAGGTTGGCCATGTTGATTCTGGAAAATCAACACTTTCAGGAAGGTTACTTCATCTTTTGGGACGGATATCCCAAAAAGAGATGCACAGGCATGAGAAGGAAGCTAAACAACAGGTAATGTAGCGACCATAATTTTTACTTTTCATGGATTTAGGTTTGGTGTCCTGAACGTGTGCTTGATTCCTTGACCAGGGAAAGGGGTCCTTTGCTTATGCATGGGCATTGGATGAAAGTGCCGAAGAAAGGGAAAGGGGTATAACCATGACTGTGGCTGTTGCTTTTTTCAACTCTAGGAAATATCATGTTGTTCTGCTCGACTCTCCTGGCCATCGAGATTTTGTTCCAAACATGATATCCGGAGCAACACAAGCAGATGCTGCCATTCTGGTGGTAGATGCTTCAATGGGTTCATTTGAAGCAGGCCTGGATCCTATTGGAGGACAAACAAGAGAGCACGCACTGCTCATTAGAAGCTTTGGAGTTGATCAAATTATAGTTGTTGTTAACAAAATGGATGTAGTAGAATACTCCCAGGAACGGTTTGAAATGGTTAAGCAGAAACTTGGAACATTTCTTCGCTCATGTGGTTTTAAAGACTCTTCTGTATTATGGGTCCCAGCAAGTTCTATGGAAAACCAAAATTTGGTGGCAACTCCTGATGAGCGATTGTTCTCCTGGTTAGATTCCTCTCTCTGCTGTTTCTGTTCGTTACATTCTTTTTGGTTTTGTTCATTGATGTTTTCTTTTATGTCATTCTGTATATGCATATTATTGTGTTGTTGATCCTAATTGCTTTCGATTGCCATGTGTAATGTCAAGGGAAGTAAGTTAGCGGCCGTTTGAATCAGTGATTACATTTGAGCAGGGTTCATATGTTGCCATGTAAATGGTATAACAGTTTTATGGTAACCATATGCAAGAAAAGAAGAATGTGATTTTCTTCTCTGCCTACTTATAAGTTGGTGATATTATTGATCTAGAAATCAAATGCATGAATTGAAAACCAATATTTTTAAATCCTGGATGACTCTAAAGATTTCCGTCATTGTCTGTGAGTGAAAGAAAGAGGATGCTTATTTCTCTCTGCGATTGCTTTTGTATGCTTTATTCTATATTATGTTGTCCTGAAAATGTATACCATATACATAAAAACTCGACTTACCAAAAAGTTTCTTGATTGCCGAACTTGTATGTGATGCTATATTGAGAACTTGTGAAATTACTGAATTGCAGGTTTCATGGGCCTTGTTTATTGGATGCAATAGATTCTCTTCAACTTCCTGCAAGAGATTACTCAAAGCCGTTACTAATGCCAATATGTGACATTATCAAATCACAATCACAAGGTCAGGTGTCTACATGCGGGAAATTGGTGACTGGAGCTATTCGAACTGGTTCTAAGGTACAGATTGTGTTTCCATTTACTTTTTCAATAATCTTCCCATCTAATTTTAAATTCATTTCAACAACGGCAGAATCCGTATTGGAAGCCTTACCTGTAGAAAGGAGAATCGGTTTACCTGCTTGCTAAAATACCCTCATAGCTGATTGAATGGTTGGATAGCCACTCAACTGCTCACTATACTTCCTGTAGGCTGTATCCCACTCTACTCCCCCCTTTAAAAATAAATGCTACCTTTCTATTTGGGGTTGATCGGAATTGATGTCCATTTTCCAGTATAACTTTTGAATTATAGAATATTTTAATATTCAATTCTCAACTTCCTCAATATACTCCAGTACACTTTATCAAAAATTTATTTGTGCTCACACTTTGCAGTGCATTTCTTAAAATAGCATTCTTTTTCAATTCTTGCCTTAACAATTCTGAAATTCCTATTAAGGTATTCGTTATGAACTGGACGAAGTACAATTATAATAGTCAGCTGTGAAGATCTTGATCTGTTTGTGCGAATATATTAATCCTTGAATTAAGTTTTGCTGTTGTGATGCATTATTTAGGGAGGGATTTGTAGCACTAGTCTTATTTAGAATTTCTATTGGTACATCATTCTGTTTTCTTGTTTTAGGTTATACTTTGGTCCTTGTTTGTTTCCAATTTCTCCGTTTTGTACAATTGGAAAGATTGAGACAGTTGCAAACTTTAAATGTTTTTTGCAGTTGTCTTGACTTCAAGCTCTCTAAATGAGTTGTGGTACTACTACACTACTTGTTCTACCTGTAAATGATCCGACCATACACACCAGATCAATCTCCATCTCAAATTAATAAAAATCTCTTTGTTCTCAAGCCTGCCTTTTACAAGCTAATTTTCATCAAAATTATCCTTTGGGTTGCATATCCACATAGTTCTAGAGATCTACTATATAACATGGATGAGATGAGACTGTTGAAGTCACCATCCTTACAAGTTGAGATTATTGTAAGTTCTATAATTATGATGTAAAATGAGACATGTAAGTTTGTAATTGCTTATCAACTGATGCACTTCGGAGTAAGAGCATTTTATGTACATAGCATTTGCAGTTTTTTCTTCTAGGAGATAGCTAAGCTGTATGTTGCGTACTTGTGAATTTTTTACTATTTATTTTGGGTTAACCTACTTGTACAGCACCAAAAGGTGCTGTACACTTACAGCCCTCTCACAGTAGAGAGGGCCCACGCCCATTTTTTTAATTGGCAGCCCCCCCAATGTGAGGGGGCTGTGAACTGAGCTGTGTGCCATGCTGTGCACACAGCTTGGTTCATTTATTTTTCAGCCTTGAAAATATTTTTCTTTTCAAGGAGTGAGAGAATCTTCTGAATCATTTCGAATGTGTTCTTTGTGGTGGAAATGTTTGTCCAATGGATATAAGGTTTCTTGTGGTTTGGTTTATTAATCTTCTGAGCTGGTTTGCGTTTGTGAATAGAGTGTAATAACTGCCACTTGTAATACTTGTTTGTGTATGTTGGTTACAGGTTCTGATTATGCCTTCAAGAGAAGTAGCGACAATACGTTCTCTGGAACGGGATTCTCAAGCTTGTAAGATTGCAAGATCCGGTGACAATGTCACGGTCAATTTACAGGGTATTGAGAACAATCATGTGACAGCTGGAGGTGTCTTATGTCACCCTGATTTCCCAGTTCGCGTCTCAAACCACTTGGAACTGAAGATTCTTGTGCTTGATATTAAGATTCCAATTCTAAGTGGTTCTCAGGTTTCACTCTTCGGGGAAATAATTTTTATTTATTCTGTGGTTATGTTATTTAGGAGCTTACTAGCGCAATCTCTGCTAAAATTTGCAGTTGGAATTACACATACACCACGCAAAAGAGGCTGCAACAGTTGTGAAGATATTGTCACTGCTCGATCCAAAGACTGGGAAGGTTACCAAGAAGTCCCCAAGGTGTATATTAGCAAAGCAAAACGCAGTAGTTGAGGTTTGTGGTGCAGAATTCTTTCAGTTTCTATGGATTTTTCCTTCCTTTTTCTGAGTGTTGCTTCCTTGATCTGCACTAGTGCTCTCTAGTAGCTGACTTAAGTATATATTTCTGTTACCTTAGGTTGTTCTACAAGGATCGGTTTGTGTAGAGGAGTACGCCAAATCCAGAGCTCTGGGACGGGTGTCACTTAGATCATCAGGAAGAACTGTTGCGCTTGGTCTTGTAACGCAAATAATGAAGACCCAATAATAGTTTCGATAGGAGATAATTTGCATTGTTACAACCAAAATCTGTAAAAGATCTGTATTCAGATGCCTTACCATCCATTTTGATATAGAGGTGAGCGGCATCATAGTTTTATTTTGTATAAAAGTGATTCACTCTGGTGTAAATTATGAAATTAAATGTATCTCTCCTTATTTGAAAATACTAGGGTCAAATAAATCTTTTTACTCCCTCTTGACCTAGATTTTGTACTATAGCCTTCACATGTTCTAATTTAACAGAAGGTTGGTGATAAGAATTTGCAACATTGGTAGTAGGTTAGCCTAGCATAGGTTGGGATTCGTTCATGATAGGTCATGACAAACTGGCACCAGGGTTACCATGAAACTCGGGACTGTTAGCTTGATGATGACATTCTCTCTTGGACCTTCACATCCTACCTGCTCAATGCTTGGATTTTGTTTGACTCTTTCTTAAAGCAAACGACCTGCAATATTTGACCACTTTTAGGCGTAATTCTTGAATGTAGAGCTCAAACTTTGATCAAGTCTACTAATCAAACATATACAGAACCCAAATTCAAACATCAATGTGACCAAGGGAATGAATCTGTACTAAATCTATTACTTTCAGAATAAAAATATGAAAACATACATCCATTTGGCAAGATCTGAATCAAGAAGAGTTAACAAAACAGGTAGAACTTTAGTACTAATCTGATATTAACAGAAAAAATAACGTCGAATTTTATCAACTGAAACATCATTATCGACCCTTCAAACTATCTGATGTGCTCCAAGAAATGGACGAGGAGAGTAGCCCATGTCGTATATCTTCTAATGTTGGAAGTTCAGATTCAATATTCTGATGATAATAAGACAATCTTTCAGGCGATTGAAGATCGGTAACCATGCCAATTGTCACTTCTCCGGATTCCGCTCCCTGCACTTGCAGTTTCTTCAAGATTAGTCTCATTGAAGGATGTGCATTTGGATCTGGATTTGCGCAACATAAGGCCAAGCGCAACACGTTTTCAACTTCCAGTTGGTCGAATAAGCCATTTCTCTTCAGCCTCTCATCTAATGCATTGAGCAGTTCCCCTCTTTCCATTAGCCCCTAAACCCACTCAACCAGGGTCTGCTTCCCTTGTTCTATTGGTTTGCGCCCGGACACCACCTCTAAAACCAACACCCCGAAACCAAAAACGTCAGTTTGAGCTGAAAGGCGTCCAGTACGAACCAGTTCTGGTGCCATGTATCCCACGGTGCCTACGACTTGGGTCGTGCTAGCCAACTGTCCATGATGGTGCATTCTAGCCAAGCCAAAATCTGCTAGTTTCGCATTCATGTCCTTGTCGAGTAACACATTGCTTGCCTTAATATCTCTATGCAGCACCGTAGAATCCCACCCTTCATGCAAATAAAAGACCCCTGAAGCTACATCTTTTAACACCGTCATCCTCTGTTCCCAATTCAGCACCACATTTCTGCCACAATCAAAAAGCCATTTATCCAAACTTCCGTTTTCCATATAATCATATATCAAAAGTAGGCTTCTTTTCTCCGTGTTACACCAACCTCTTAATGACACCAAATTTCTATGCTTTAATCTACCTAAACTTGATATTTCAGCCAAGAAATCTCTCATCCCATGCTCACTTTCAAGTGAAATACGCTTCACAGCCACTTCGATGCCTCCTGCCAATACCCCTTTAAAGACTTGCCCATTTCCTCCACGGCCGATCACACTTTCCTTTGCGAAACTTTTTGTTACAGAATGAATTTCTTGATAATCCATGCGATGAGGCCAGTACTCCAATTCCCATTCCTCGAGTTCTTTGCCCTTTCTGTTTTTCCTTCTTCGTAACAAGAACATGTAAATTGCGACTGCACATAGAATAATGAAAACACTGCCCAGAGTAATCCCTGCAATAAAGCCTTTGGAACGAAAAAACGAAGCCTTTGAAGCAACAAAAGATGGTAGATTTTCAGTGACTAGAGCATCACCAATGGAAAAATTGGAATTGCTAAAGCTCCATGACAGAATCCTATGACTTTCAACTAATGCTCCAGTGGCTGCACAAAATCCAACATACATTTGATCCAGCAAAACGTCTGATATATCTACAGGATAATCAATCAACGGCCTAATAGGCTTGTCCATACCTACAGGTGCCATAGTAACATTTACTCGAGAATCAATATAATCGATCCAAACTTGAATGTTGTTACCATTGTTCAACCTCAACGGGCGAAATTCCAATCCAACATCATACTCATTATCATAATCTTCATCATTTCCAACCCAGTATCCAGCCTCATGCATTTCTTCAGAAGTGAGAGAATTCACATTGATACCAACATGATTATCATTAAGATCATTGAATTCTTGGTTCTCGAACACATCAAACTTGACGGCAAAGACATGGTTGTTTGAGTTACCATCATTCGTGAAATTGAGCAAGCCAAGGTGTTGAGCTGAATTCGTGCCATTTATGCCCGTCGAGGGCGTGAAAAGGAACGCAAAGCCATGTCCAGGGAGGCGTTTAGGATATGGAGAGATGGAGATAATGAAGGAAGTTGAGAAAGGGAGGAGTTGGGATGAGTTTGAAGGTCTGGTGGGGATTGATTGAGGATAAAAAGCTCTTCCAATGGAGAAGTTGGTATCAGTTGTAAGAGTGAGAATTGATGATTCGATGGTGGCATTGCCATAGAGATTAACAGAAGAGGAATTGAAAGAATTGAAGATAAATTCAAGGGGTGAGATGCATTGGAAGAGAGAGAAGTAGATGAAAAGAGACAAACCTTTGGAATCCATTGGAGATTTTCAGATATTTTCCTGGTTGGTTAATGTTGTTAGGGACAATATCTGCAAATGGAACGAAATTCATAATTTGTGGGAATATTTGTCAAAGCCCACAAAAGTGCAAATGGAATGAAATTCATAATTTGTGGGAATATTTGTCAAAGCCCACAAAAGTTGACTGTTTGACATAATGATATATCAACGATTGGAAAGTCAGTAGGATTCAGTTCGCGTTTTTGAATTTCTTGATCACTGTATGAATATGGAGACATGTTCTCATATTGTGTGCTACTGGGCTCCATTGAAAAGGTCAGTTGTTTCTAAAGTTTTGCTACTTGTAGTTTGAGAGATACTTTGACAAATGAAAAGAAAAGAAAGGAGAGAAAAACAATTTCAAAAGGAATTCAATTAGTAAAAGGTAATAAAAAAGTGATAATGCTACATGTACATAATGATTCACATACACCTGATATAATGAAATATGATTTGATCAAAAAAATTTCGAGAAAAAAAATAAAAAAAAACATTTCCTATTCTCTTTTTTACACCTCATCCATATATAAACCATTATACGCTTGTCTGGGCACCACTTTGCAAAAAAAATGGATTTTTCAATCACATCGAGTGACCCACCATCTTAATGCCACCCTTGCGTTCTAAATATATAATTTGTGCCTTCCATTTATACCCACGTTTTAAAGTGCGTGCACTATTTGTCCAAATCAGCACAAGCCGCCATGTACGACTTTTCGAAGTTATAAATCACCTTCATATCAAATGAAATGGAAAAAGGAAATGAAATTATACTGTTCAATGGTCATATTTCTTCTTCAAAGGCAAAAATAATTGTGCTCAGACAAGCACGATGTAACTCCATTATGTACAAATAGCATTTTTCATAAAAAAATAAAAAAAGATCTATTTTTTTTCACATTCTACTCCGTCAATAATTATGTTTCAACAACATTAACCCAAGAGAGTTTTCCCCATCAGAGTTCCAAGTTACTTTACAGAAACCCAAAAAATTCAAAAGTTACTTTTTTCCCGAAAAAAAAAAAAGAAAAAAAAAAGAAAAAGAAAGAAAGAAAGTTGCATTTCAGAACAGTTTCTAAACAATTATGTAGCAAAAAAATCAGCATATGCCATTAAGATGATGAGATTATACACCTATATAAGTGGGTAAAGTTCAGTGACCTGTCCTGAACAATCAAAACCAACAAAAAAGATACGAGTTTTCTCTTTCCATCTGGAAAAATTTATATATTTACCATCTTTGGCTGCACAATTTATTCAAATGTTCCTTTTGTGAAGGTAGAACTCCTTGAATTCTTGCCAGTCGACAAGACTGTTCTGAAAACAGTTTATATGTTGAAGGCCTCTTCCACGGAACAATCCCAAAATCATCGTTGAACTCTTCCATCCCTTCAACCCAGAACTGCCAGACTAAAGTTCCAGCACCAGATTCGTTTCGTTTTGCAGACTTGTATATGATATCAAGAATAACTTCGTAGAATTTGTCTCGTTGTGAAGGGTTGAATCCTTTGTTCTCGGTAGACAATCCAAATTCGGTGAACATTACGGGCTTTTTCAGTTCTTTGTCGCCATCTTCAATGTGCCGAAGCATCCACTTGGAGGCAAATTTAAGTTGGTATCCAAAATCTTGATTATGAGTGCTGCCAGGTTTAACATTTAGCTGAGTTATTCACCCAAAAGTAGAATGCAACAGATCATGTTTGACTAGGCATAAATGTAACTTAAACTTAATTTCCAGTAATTTTTTGTTTCCAAAAGATGCTTTGCTTTTGTAACAGAAAGGTTGGAAATATTTCAAAATAATGAACTTATGTTCAGCTTTGACCATAAAATTAAATAACTGAAAAAATAAACTTACAACTTTACAAGTAATTTTTGTAAGCTTATCTAGACAGGCTAAGCTCATAAGTTATTTACAGTTCATCAAGGTAAGAGAACAATCACAGCCACTTGGCATTGAAATCAAAGAGAAAAATAACTAGCTTTTTTCTTCTTCCTTCTTGCTGAAATTTCCAGGAGTAAAATGGTAGTAAAAGCAATTAATATCCGAAACATAATTAAATAATATCAGATTTGTAAGGTTGATAGATCACAAAATCGAGCAAACGGAGCAGATTATGCAGTAACCAATAATATGATTAGATAGTTAATGGACAAACAGCTCACCAGTGATCAGGGTATATATGAACTGACGCAAAATCAACAGTTGAGATCTTTGAGTTGCGAATGAAATCTGATCCAAGATCGGCTGCCCAGAACTCTGGATTCACAGTTGACCTTTTGGGATTTTTTGGACCATAGAATCCTTCAAGGCCCACTGTCAGCAAATGTTTATTGTCAATTAATTTGATAAAAGTAGACATTTCTTCGATCCAATCCTGCAATTTTACCA